AAACTCTGGTTTTTGTAAAGAAAAAAAAAAAACAGTGAACCTTTTTTTTTTTTTATTTTAAACCCTTAGGTGTCAGTATTTTCAACTATAATTGACAATATTATTCACGTTCTCACGCTGTAGACTTTTGGTAGCAAATTTTGGTTGTTTCTAATTTTTTTTTTTTTACGTCACCAAATTACTATTGTAGTAATTAATTTGCTATTAATCCTTGTGTATCCACATATCTGTTCGAAATAGCGAAGGTGTTTTGCCAAAAAAATCTTGCGAATCCTTGTATTTCAATCACTTTAGGTGATTGTCTGCAGTGATATCGTCGCCAATCTGTTGTGTCGTGGCACAATAGTTAAAAATAAGAAAATCAAGTTGAAGTTGGTTTAAAGAACAAGTGTATTTAACATCATAGATACAAAGGTAGGAAACGGGTACTACTCAGCTTGGCAGTTGTAGTACTGTCGCTGCTTACACCGGGTAGGTATTACTGGCACTATATATAGTGAGAACCGGTGTAATTCCCTTGTGTTAGAGGCCGGTGCAACAAGTATGCTGGTAACAGAAGTGTTGTGAATAGGAGTTTCCTTTCTAATAAATGAATCAAAAGAAATATCAATAGATATTACTGTGTGATCCGAATTGGCGAAAGGACAGAGTTGTGATGCTTTGCAAGAGGTAGGTGAGGAGCTAAGGAACAAATCAAGTAAAGAAACATGTTGATCAGAATTATTTCGGAAATTTGACTGAGTAATGGAAAAATTGAAAGTCTGAATATCAGTACTATCAGTAATATTAGAATGATTAAACCACTTGACATGAATATTAAAAGCATGTTCAAAGATGAATGTAGAGAATGCTATTTCTGTACTGTTAGATATTTTATCTAATGTTACAGTCCTGAGAAAAAGGGGAGCAATAAAGGAAATGGTGATAGCTAATAGAATGCAGTAAAGAACATTGAAAGTACCTCTGTAGATTGCCATTGGAAGATGTTTCCTGGATGTGTAAACACCAAGGCCATGCATATGTTATCCTAGAATCTTTTTGACAAAGAGGAAGATAGCTTGGAACCGAGAATTGGTAGCGATAGGAGAGTTTAAACCCTTCCTTGCCAATTATTTAGTGAAAAATTGCATTTTCAGGCAAATATTTTATTTGTTTTAAATATAGTAACTAAGAAACTGAGGCACCTTGAAGTAACTGTGTGACTAACACCTCTACCAGATGTATAAGTTAACAATTGGACTTGTTTCAATCTCAGAAGGGCATAAAAAATTAAGATCGACATATAAGCGCATCTGTAGCCGGTTTTTGGATGTGTTTATTCGTCTGTGTCTGTAAAAGACACTTTTGATAAAAATGTATATAAACATCTATGCCGGAGAAGGGATTCAATTAGTTTTGCAAAGTGCTAAGATATCTGAAGAACTTTCAAGAGAAATGATTCTACACTGCAGAAATTGGTATGAATACCACAAATATTGGAGAAGAAATGGTTGAGGGGTTAGGTGATTTTTTTTTTTTTTTTTTTGTTAACTGCTTTACTCATATTTCTTTTATTTGTAACTGTCATGAGAAGATTATTTTAATTTTTAAAGAGAAAGAGGCCAAAATAATTATATTATATAACTGGCTGGAAGGTGGCTCAGACTAAAGCATAATGTAGCCACATGATTATCCACCAGAAATATATGCAGTGACACCTATCCATGCATGACATGGCACTGCAATTACCTTGATAGTAAGCAACTGTTACCATTTAGGATATAGCAACCAGAAAACTACCAACCCAGCACCCTCAAGATGAAAGCTCGTAGCCACTGATCAGTCAGATTACCAAAAAGTTAAAAACAGTTAATTCATTATGGCCATGGAAGAAAGGAACTGGTAAACCCCATCTGAAACAGGAAACAAGAGATAAACTGCTACTCCTTTTCATGAAAGGAGTATGGGCCAGGTGATAGGCAACATATCTACTAAATACTATAATTGTCATCATTTGATGCTCTTTTTATGAAAAGAAAAATGCTCTCATTTATGGTGATGGTACTATATTCATTGTATGTACTGTTTATAAGTGTTTCACTAGATTCAAAAATGGAAATTTTGATCTGGAAAACTAAGAACATTCCAATAGGAGGGGAGAATGAAATACAATAACAATTGGTGATAATTATGCATTAAGAAAAATGCTGAAGATGTCTCTAGATACACAACCTTTCTGACATAGCATTCTACTTCGTAGAGTTTTTGTTTTTATCACTTGTTTTTAAATATCCCAAATTGTAATCACAGTGGTTTTAAAAAAGCAATTTATTAAGGCAAAATTTTATAGAAAGTGTACTAATTTCTGAGACTTCTAAAGTAAATCTGTGTCCAGGATCATCCAGCATGTACACTTTCTATAAATGTTTGCCTTAATAAATTGCTTTCTCATTTAATTGACACTGTATTTTTTTAAGTTCAAATCATGATCAGACTTAGGATGAACAGCTAATGCATTTAGTGTGTTGCTTTGTAAAAAACATTTTGTGTCCATTATTTAACTTTCTAGATATTTCACCTATGTATTTCTTGAGACATCTTTTACAGTTTATTGTAAATTCTCACTTAAGGTTTTAGGTTATTATTTTGTTTTGTATTAATTAAATCTCTTATTGATTCTGAAGTAGTAACATATTTTATATTAAGTTTAGATAAATTCTTTTTAATTGTAGTCATTATTGTGTCGATAGATAGTATTATGTGCCTAGTTTTATATTATTTAATTTTTGAATTATTATTGTGGGGATATTTAAAAACAATAGTGTTTTTTTTAGCAGTAAGTTGTAACTCAGACACCAGAAATTTAAAGTTAAGTGTCCCTGCATCTTCAGCATTTTTCTTAATGTTTATTGTATTATCTCATTACACACACACACATAGCCAAGTCTATTCTGCTATTTTTAGCTGGAGGGTAAGGAGATCATTTCATGCCTTTCCCAAGGGGGTTAGTGAACAGTGAATGCAGAAATTTAAGCTTATCTTGCTGATTCCTTTTCTATAGTGATACTTTTATGTTTACTGTACATTCACCCATCATCACATGTGTGCACACGCATGCATATCCACTAGAGTTAAAATGGCATTTTGCTTCAACCAGCCGAAAATGCGAAATATTATTTTTTTTTTCTAAGATTAAATTTTACAAGTTACTTTGTTTTGCAAAATCAACGTGACCAATCTTCATCAATATTTGGAAATTGTACACTCAATTAGAAGACACCTTAAAGTACAACCAAGGAGATGTTCATTTCTTCCCTGACCTGTGGAAGTGAATTCTTTCAAAAATTACAAAGTAAAAAAAATAAAAATAAATAAAAGGAGCAACTGATAGTAAATGTGTGGCAAAAGAACCTTCCAATTATTGAAACTACTGCCTGACACTGACAGACACTTGTTTTCGATTAAGGTTTTTTTTTATTAAACTTTCGAATAAATTGTTAACTATAAATAACTATCATATTTATTAACAAATTGGTAAAATATGAATGAAATTGTCGCATAAAATATCTATATTTGTCTTTGGGCAACACATTTTTGAGAGAGAAAATGGTAGAGCTCTCTAGAAATTAGTTTGATGTGGCTTTTAAAAAGCCAAAAAAATGAAACCCCTCATAATTAAAAATACAGCAATTCTTTTCTGGCACGTCAGTCAACTTATTAAATAGATTTCTTTTAAACAAGGAAAATCAATAAGCTTTTTTTTTTTTTTTTTTTTTTTTTTTCCCCTAAATAAATTTATTCTCTAGCAAATACACCTAAAATTAAATAGTAAAAATAATTAAAAGCTTTTAATTTCATTTTTAGAATGTGTATATTTCCAAATCTGCGAGTATCATCTGTTCTTTTTTAGATACACATTTTAAAACTGAAAGTAAAAACTATTTTATTTTTAATCATTTTAAAACCATAAAGATATTTGTAAAAATAAAATGAATTAATTTTCCTTGTTTAGAAGAATTTTAGGCAGGCCACCCACTGAACATTAGTGGCTAAAAAAGAATAATTTTCACTTTGGGTTTTAAAAAATGACTTACAGTTTTAAAAATATACACATTTTAAAACTGAGATTGAAACTTACTTTATTTTTTTAATAACTAATTTTAGGTGTATTCGCTAGATAAACAGTTTTATTTGTAGAAAAGTAAAACAAACAATACACAGAGACTCGCATATCTGGAAATATTACACATTTTAAAAGTGAAATTAAGAACTATTTTAATTATTCTTAATATCTAATTTAGTTGCTTTCCCTAGATAAAAACAAATTTATTTATAAAAAAAAAAATCTTCATTTTTCTTGTTTACAACATCTTTATTTCATGATTGACATACACTGGCTTCTTACTAGAAAACATTTACGTACAACCCTTACAAAAAAATCTGACTCTATTTCACATTTATTTCCTAAAACTAGTCAATTAAATGTTTTTAACATATTTTTGTTCAACCTTTTTGTCTTACAATGGTAAATATTGGTAAAATTTAATTTTATTAACATCTGAAAGTCTTTTTCGATAGTGTTTCTTTGGATATAGTCACTCAGTAATGATAGCACTTAAAAAAACCCCCAAAAAACCAAAAGATTTCGGCTACGTAAAAAATTTTGCAGTTTCACGGTGTGGAGATGAAACCGAAAAAAGTTGTTTTTTTTGGTTAAACCACCCATCTCTAATAGTCACTCACTCATCACACCCACACATAAGAGTAGTGTCAACAGTCTTTTGCAAATGTACTTGTGTTTAGGATTTTAAAATGTGTATAGATATAGTCAATTTAACAAACAGCTATTTTTATGCACCTCAATTTATTCTCAGAATTATAATTATTTTTGCTTTGCACTTTATGTAATAATTCTTACAAATTGCCATTTTACTTTTCATATCAAAATTTTTGTCAGTAAATATTAATTTATGTCCTTATTATTTTAACCTACTATATTTGTCTTGTCATTGTGTTTACAGGTTATTCGGAGTTGATGCGTTTGCTTATATACTCAGGATTCTGTCCTCGTCAGAAAGATAACTATGGTCAGACACCCCTGCACTTGGCTTGTATCAGTGGTAACCTCACAGCTGTCAAAGAGCTTTGTGAACAGGTCAGCATTAAATAAAGAAAAAAAAATTTATATACTTTTTTTTTTTCCATTTTTTATTTTATTTTTTAATTTTATCTCTAAAAAATAATTTATAAATAGGAACATTTAATGTTATCTTTCAGTACTTCCACTGCCATATAGGAGGACTAATAATACATAACAGTTCAGTACTCTTTTCTTTGTCTTTTCCTCCTTAGTAATACTTTTGGAAGGCCTCTTTTGTTATCCCAATTCACCTTTGAATTTTAGTGCCACACTTCCTAGATATTTAAATCTTTTTACTTGCTTGATTTTTGTGTCTCCAATGGTAGTTCTGTTTAGAAATAGAAAATCACCTACTTCGAAAAAGAGTTTGTGTTTTGCGCATGGTCTGCCGAAGGGGAATTAAAGAAAAAAGTAGTAAACAAAAAATCTGCTACTTTAAGTATCAGAAGTTATGCTAATTTTCTTTCCTCCCTGAATGGCATGGTCAATCAGGAAAATCACTTGGTAAATAAAGGCTTTTGACTTTTGCTTACTGGGAGAATGATTTTGGAGATTGTAAGGCTTGTGTCTGATTGATTTTTATGTTCATTTTTCTTCAGCTAAGTTTCTGCCTGGCAAGGATTTGGAAGAACTTTCATATGAGTCAGTTGTTTATCTTTCGTTTTTTTCTTTATAGAAACCTTTTGAATTTTTGATTTTTCAGTTTATTACTTTGATTTTTTTCCATTTGAGTTTATTTTTTCTTTTTTGTCAGCCAAACTTTTAAGTTTCTAGTGTATTTCTTTTCGTTGCTTATTTCATTTTACCAAGTTTAAATTTTCCTTTGAGTTGTTACCTTTCTGCAACTACTAGATTGCAAGACTTTACTCAATTCTAGAATAAAACTCTGGAAGCCATATAGGCACACTTTTTTCTATTTAGCTGTGGTAGGACGAAGCTGGTTCTATCATGGTGAAGGATACATCACTGCAAAAAAAAACTCACTCTGAGGTGAGGGCAGACTCCAAAAAGGTGCAAACTATTATAAAAGCCTAAAGGATAAATATGATGCCTATATCAAAGGAAATGAATTACTAACCATTCCAGGGGAAATCGAAAAACAAGGATGATCTCTCTACTGACAACCAAAGTGTGAACATGAACATTGATTGGTGCCAGTAGAGAGACTATGGAAGAGGCCTTGAAAAGCCTCAAGATACGACCTAAAATTCTAATCAGAAGGATGAACACTATGGGACGTCCTGTTACCTACAGAGGATGAAGCTAAAATCATCTACAAACCGAATATCTAGGGACCCATAGAACAAGAATAACGGTTTATGGTATCCTAGTTGACGTTTGTGGCAATAGGCTGGGGGCCTATTTTGCGCAGTATGGCAAAGTAGAAATGGTTTCTATATCAATTTATTCTTCCACATTGTTTTCTCTCTTCAACAAATTTACTCTTTTTTTTCTCATTATCTTTGTCTTATTTGTTGCTTGTATTTTTGTCCCTTCACTCATTATCTATTTCATCATTTCATATTTCTTGCATAACACATTTGCATTTCCCTCAATTATTTTCTTCCAGTTTTAGTATTGTCTTTATTTTTGTTTTTGCAACTGAATTATTTAAATGCTCATTCTATCTCATTTATTTATTAAACAATTATTTACATATATTTTTTTTCTTTTTATTCTCTTTTGAGAAGAGGAATTATCAATAATTGAAGGAATTGAAAATGATCAGTGTGTACTTGTTATGTCTGTAATACTTTATGTAATAATCAAAATGAGAACAATTATTAGAATAACAAAGCATAGTGATATTTCTTCAATTCAAAAATGAAATACTAACAAATAAGAGATTAGCCTGAATCTGACCCAACTAAAAGCATTAATCACATCTGAAACAAAATCAGCAGTGTGTTTTTTTTTAAGCAGCAAAAATGAAAAAATTGCTTTTCTACTATTACGTCTTTTTAGAAATATTATTTTAAAATAAAAAGTTCATTGACCAATCATATTGACTTTTCCATAGAAAGAAGCTTTTGTTTGATTAGTTTAAAGAAAGAACTAATTTCCATGTTGATATGGAGTTTTACAGTGATGCTTTTATAATCTATGGCACAGTAATATTATATAACTTTTTCATCTTAAGTCAAATTTACAGTTTGAAAACTTTTTGCTTTTCATTAGTTCCTGTTTCAAAGAGAAAGTAACATTTAAAGAAAGAATTTTATATAAATTGAATGACAAAAATGTATATTTACTTAGTGTAGTCTGACACTGTCATAGCATATAGTGGAAGGATGTTATGTTATAAAATCTACTTGCTTTGAAAATCAGCATTTTCACATTTTTTTTTTTTAAGACTAGCCACAAATACTGCTGGCTAATATGCAAGTATTTTAGCCATTGTACAAAAGGAGAAAATGATAAATAGTTGGCAAAACTGTGATCAATGTAGATATAAGCAGTATTATTACAGTAGACAAAGGCTTGGTCAGCATTTACCACAACTTATAACTATGAGACAACCAAACTGACTTATGAGAAGAAGTAGAAAATTTGGGTTTGCATTTGAGCACAAGATAACAATTAGTACTTGAAACCATTTCATTAATTTTATCATATTCAAAGATCAGTTTATAATGTCTTTATAACAAAGTATAGTACATTAGCAATTTATTATAAAGGAAAAATAATAGAATAAACAGAAATAAGTGTTAATGAAAGAAAAAGAATAAAAATTGTTAGTATGATATGAAAACAATTATGTAAAGTATTATGGAGAGAATACAGATGTGGAAAAACTCACAAAAAATATTAAAGAGAAAATATAGATAATGGCAACACATGCAATGAACTATGAAATAAGTGAGAGAAAGTAACTATAAATTATGGAAAGAGAAACAAATCTGTATAAAGAAAGAAAAATATGTGATTCAAATGTGATGCTATAGCTAGGAACAGGAAACTATTTTATTATCACCCAAAATCTAACAGGAATTAGCAGGGCTACTGTGGATTTGTGTTAAGTTTGCTGTATTGCATTTTGCTTAGAGCAAGATGACAGGTCAATATTCTCAAGAGAAGGATGTCTTTTTTTTTAATTATCAACAAAACAAGTTTGCACCTGAATTTATGCTCAATAGACATTTTGTCTGTTGTAGTTTAAATGATAGATTACTACTAAAAATAATATATATTTTATAATACTTATTTGTCCACTTCTCATGAATTGATTTTTGTTTTTGTTACTGATTAATAACAGCAATACATTTTTTAAAATATATTTGTATATGTTCGTGATTATTTGTATTCTTAGTAATAGAAAATAAAGAAATTAATGTTTCATTAATTTAAAAAAAAAATTGAATACATTTTGAACTTTGTGAAAGGAAAAATATTTTTTAGATTGGAGCTGTCTTATTCTTAAATGTCTGTTAATTACTTTTTGTTATTTGAATAAAAACTGTAAACAGAAAAATAATGACTTTAAGATAAACTTAAGCTTTTCTGTATTATTTATCTTTTTATTTACTGTTATGGTACAAATAATTTATTTAGCACGTAAGAATTATTGTTCTCATAGAGTTAGTAGTATAACATTGAACTAGTTGCTATAAAGCTTTGGTTCAAACTTTAATGTTATTTTAGTTAGATTCATTCAGAAATGTAAACTTTAAGGATTGAAATAAAAATCTTTTTGTTTACTTTTGTGTTAAAGATTGTAATTCATTAGCAAGTGTTTAAATATTTTAAAATACCATTTTGGAGTGGTTTATCATTACTTTTAAAATTTAACTATTTTTTTTTTTTATTACAGATGTAATAACCATAAATGTCCCAAAATACATATTTATGATTCCTCAAAAAAACCTATTAGTTGTTAAGCCAACAGCATTCCTTTGATCAAAATAAAACTATTGGTCTGAAGAAGTAGGCATAGCAAACGCTAACTGGCTGATGTGCAACCAATAGGTATCAGTTCTAACAGGATTATATCCAGTTTTAAAATCAGAGTAGTCGTTCTCTTAAACTAGCTGCCATCTAGAGTTAGAGAACCCAGTCTACACTACTATTTAATCCATAGCTAGTTGGAAGAGAGATGGATTTTACACCTTTTCCTAGGGCATTAGTATGAAGTGAAAGAAACAGACTAGACTCTAATTTGAACACTGATTGCCAAGTCCACTTTCATCACCAGTGACCTGCACATCAATCTATTCTGTAATAAATGTAATGTAATTTTTCATTAAAAATGATTGATTTTCAAAATCCTAAAATCTTTTTGTGATGGCATGAGCAGGTATTTAGTCATTAATTTTGTTTAGATTTTAATGCTGTCTTACAATAAGAATATTTCCAATATTTCAACCAGTTTCCTCAGTTGTATAATCACATTTAAATAGGTTATAAATAAGAAGCAGCTGATGGAATCTGGATGTTTACATTCAGATTTGTTAAAATGGGTCAATACAAAAGGACTGTTATTTTGTATTGGTTTCTATTCTGTAAAAATTATACTAAATTTTATTAACTGAATATTCTTTGGTTCAAGGTCTGTTAGTGTTTTATTTTTGGGATCTTTTATATTTAATTTAAATTTCTACTTACTAGATGACTGAATTAAATGCACATCTTGTTATTAATGCAGACTGCAAAATAAGACACCCATTTAAACCTACATAACCATCAATCTGTTGTGGCCTATTAGGGGCCAGAAAGACAGACATAGAAAGAAGAACATAGTTTGAACAAGTGTATTGAAATAACAGAACATATATACAAAATAAGAGTGTTATTAGTCATCAGATAGAAGTGTCCGTCCAAACTGTCAGGTTACACTGCGTCCTGACTGCCTCCTTAGGAAGTCTCGCAGGTTAGTATTTATGAAAGAGGAAGAGTTCATTCTAATGTAGATAGGTCACCATAACACCCCCCCATCCTAAAATCTTAACTCCGCATGAGTCCGAAGAAAATTTTTTTTTTCTTTTTTATATTAAAGTTATGAGGCTGTGTATGTAGCT